CCTCACTATAGCCCAATGATTGTTACTACTTTGGCATTAAAGTCTAACAACAGAACACACGCTTTGTACTTGTTTTGACGAGCCTAAAATTTCACTACTCATGCTCAAATGTAGCCTAGTTTAAAGCAAGAGAAACAAAGCGGGTAAACAGTGGCGTAAGCCGTTTAGTTGTGAAAGCTAAGGCGACTTTGGCATAGAAAAAAATACAAAAAAATGGTCAAAGACCAATGCTGTGTTGGTGGAAACAAAACCTGCTTAGGCCAAGAAATCGGTGCAATTAATGGTACAATTACGATGACCCAAAGATTATCATTCTCGCCTTAACCGAAATGAATCCGGATAGTGTGACTGGCTTATTGCAAAGAAAATGGACTCGCAAAGCACACAAAATTGACTTGTGTGCCTTCCACCAGTTGGCATTCACTCTAGCCAACTGTCGATTATGCTGGTAGATGATCATTTCTTCGTTGGCGTAAGTGCAGGACTTGGAGTAGTGGTAACTTGATGTAGGATTGGCTCAAAGTTCATGCGATTTTTTCGGGTAGCCCTCCACAGTGACTTGCAAGTTTCACGAATGTGTAAATGACTGGATTGTCACTTCATGGATGGGATTGGAGGCTGACCGCTTTACCGACTTAAGTTCATTTTCAAGGCGGCGGATGGTTCCAGAGGAGGTTGGACAGCACTTGTAGAGGGTTAAGCAGCTGAGGATACCACCATAGAAGGCTTGGCTTTCGGTATTGAGACGAACAGAGTTGTGCCATTCTGAAGGTCATTCTTCATCCAGGATTGTAATGAGGGCTTGTGGTGTTGCTACAAGCAAATGAATAGCAACTCAGAAAAGTCTTTGTTGAGGATAAAACAAATGACGACACCTACATTGACTGAAGAAGTGATGATTGAATTAAAGTTCACATTTAGCATCGCATTTTGCGCAAAAAGAAACCTATGCATCAAATCATAAATGGGAGGTGCACAGTGACATGATACACGCCGGAGGTTTATAAGAAATGAACCCTCAACCTCCATCCATTAACTCTCCCTGGCGCAGACTAAGGTCATCTCAATAATTTATGGTTGCTTCACATTTTTGCAATATTTTAACTTATTATCCTACTGGTTTGATGTACTTCATCCAATTCCATTCAGGCAAAGCTCACAGCCTTTACTCTACCACATGCTTTTATCTCTTAAAGCGCTTGCATGGCGAAAGCGACTGCTCTCAAGCACTGCGTCGCAAACTGGTGTCGATGATGGATACGTACACACATGGGGCCAGTTTTAGCATGGAGAGAGAAGAAGCCACCAAATGTGCCACAAAGTTTAAGAAGGGACTCAAAGACAACCTTTTTACTATTCTAACACTTATTGGAGTGGTCATCGGGTTCGGCATTGGCTTTGGTGTGGGCACAATACATCCCTCTGAAACGGTGGTCACATGGATTGGTGAGCGCTTCCCCTAATCTTTTCTATCAATTCCGCTCCTTCTTCATTGGCATTGTGGATGTCGCTTTTTCCCCATCAGTAACTAGAAGTCATTGTTCGGCGCTCCTACTCACAAATTGTTATCAACTTCCTTCTTCACAACGGAATACAGTCATCTTACATTTACATTTTTACACTATACAAGTTAAAGCAACATCATCAACTTGTAAAACTCAAAAGGAAAGCAGTATTTAAAAAACTTAAAAGCAGATTAAAGTGATCGCCGATTAGTGCGAACCTCTTCTTCATACATTTGTAAGGTCTCCTTTTTGATTTTCTAGCAATGCCAGGAAAAATATACATTCGACTACTCCAACTCACTATTTTACCGGTCATTGCCTCGAATATCATTGTCGGTAAGATTTTTGTTCTCCGAACGCTTGAATGGAAACATGTCTATTTGCACAAAATGAGTAACCAAACAAAATCTCCGGGACCCTTCATGTTTTTGCTAAGTTATGGGGAAAATTGATCCTCGGGAAAACGGTAAAATGGGACTGGCAGCCCTCCTGTTCATACTCGGCTTCGACATCATCAGTGGTGCAATCGGTGTCATTGTAGCCGTTCTCATTAAACCGGGTGAGTTTTTTTATCAAAGGACAGGTTTGATATGACAACAGAACTTCATCACAACTTGATATATTCATGCTTCAGCTAGTTTGAGGTTATTATAGTAGCAAAATTTGTGACCTTTAACGTGGCGTAAAAATCGGGCAGCCTCATTGTCTTTACAACACTGGAATGCCAATTCTCAGTGCATACATACATTAAGCGTCTTTTTTTTCCTATTCTTTTTACCTACTTCAATGCCATCAACTCAACTTCTCCTTCAATACTTCAGGTTTGTCTACGTCAATTTCCGTAAACGTAACGGTGGAAGAGCCAGGACCGGACGACGCACCCGTTTCGACCTCTGATGTATTTGCCGACCTTCTCTTGTTAGTATCAACGTTGACAAAGTTTTACGCAATGCTGCTATAGTACTAAACTTCGGACACAATAGAACCGAAAGCAACTGCCATGGTGATGGGCACCAATTTTTTTCAGAGCAGTACATCGATACATTAGCAGAAATGGTTTTATCTGTATGTGAGTTGAGGCAAATAGGATGTAATGAAAAGACTCATGAAAACAAAAGTTCAAGCATCCTTTGGAGGATTGGCATTAACATGCGATTATTTGTGCCCATTCTAGAAATTTGTTCCCAGACAACATCGTTGGCCTTACGATCCATCAGGTACGAGCTTCGTGATAGCCTGTTTGACCTCTTCATTCATCCATAGCTTTAACCATGAAATGAGGATACCTTGTTTTACTCATATTCTTTGTGGTAGAGCAGC